CCCCCCCGCCCCGTGCGTGTGGCAAAGAAACGGGTTCGTTTAAAAAGGACAGGGGACTTCGTTGAACGGTCGGGGGTGAAATCGGACTTTGTTGAACAGTCGCTGCGAGATCGCATTTTATTGAACTGTCGCGGAGAGGTCGTACTTTGTTCTTAGGACCCATAGAAGATAGAACGCAGTGTGCAGGGTGATTATCAGACAGCAAGTCACTTGTGTCCTTCTTTCACCTTACACCCAGCATTTGTCTTGCTCTAGGGAGATGGTCGAGCCTTTCGCATGCTTCTGGACCTAATAGACACCTTGAAGTCTCAACCAGAGGCTGATCCCCTCACCCGATCAGTAACCAGCCCTGTGTCGCAGTACATGACCGGCTGCGGAATGTGGGTTCGACGAGACAGACGCCGACGAGGCATCGGCGAAGCCATCATTCGTGGGGTACTCGCAAAGTGTCAGGCCACTGGCGTCCCAAACTTCACAGCCTTCTACTCGGGCATAGGCAGTCAACGTGCGGCAGTCAAAGCCGGTCTCAAGGTATGTTCCGTTACTGTCCAGGGAGCGGAAGCGGACAGCTAGGCAACCCCTGGACATCTATGTGTAGCAGTGTGGCCTAGCGAACCACCACAGGCGTGGTGGTTTTTACAGTAGTCGCGCATCCTCTACCTTGCGTTCTTCATGTTTTTAGCCCGCCCTTCTGAATTTAAAAAAGCATTAAAGCGGGCTTATGCAACCGCTCTCGTGTCCGTCCGTCCGTCTGTCCGTCGTCCGTGTAAGAGGAAGGAGGTGAGCTAGAGGTCTGCAAATTTCAGGGTATCTTAGGGGTCACTCCTGGACAACGAAACGCCTGATTCAAATCCTGGCAACCAAACCTAAGGGGGTGAAAGGGGCTAACAAAGAAATAGGGGTTGGTCTAAAAAGTACAAAATCATTTTTTTTTATGGTCCGTGAAAGAGAAACACGTTAAAGTAGAAGCCTTCGGACTAAAATTTTGTCCGTTTGCCTCTATCTTGCACCGTTTGGGCGCTAAAAAGGTTTTTTCGGCGAAAATACGGTGAAAATGACCACGTTGCACATGAAGACGTACAAGGAGGCGTCCAATCGTAAAATATCAGAAGAAGTACCCCCCAAACAGCACATTCTGAGTCAGGATAAAACCTCCGATTTGCCGTATCTCTAATTGTTTAGGAGTTAGAGGTAGATATATTGAAAACAATTGCAAAAAGTCGAGTTTAAAGACTGTTTGACAAACAATAATATACAATCTGCGCGTGTTCTTTTTTGAAATCTTAAGCAAAGCAGAAGGGTGGGGTGTAGTCACGGTGTTGTCCCGTTACAGTCTTTTGTCATGTCCAAGGAGCAAATTTCTAGGGCCGCAGGCCCCCCACCGGACGCGTTAGTTCACTCAAATATGCAAAGTGATTTACCGGTCACATTATTTATTTGATTATGCACTTCGGTCAATCGCGAGACTGTGATGGTCGGGCCGAAGGCCCGATCATCGCCGCTGGCAGGCCAAGCAGGCCCGGCCCCTGCCGAACGGAGTTGCCGGCGCAGCGAAGTAGAGCTGACAACTCCGTTTGGTAGAAGGGCGGGCCTGCTTGTTAGTTGGGGTATATATAGTACGACCCTCTTCCGCAAAGGAGAAATGTCGAAAATCGCGAATCTTTTCCGTAGAGCGCATGGTGACTCCGCCGCGACATTTAAGTCCCATGACCACATGGATTGTTGAACGCAAGATTTTATTAGCCAACCCAGAAGCGGGGTCATAGATTTATGCCTACCGTGCCCAGGACGATTCTGTTTTGTGCGTGAAGAGCTGGGAGAAGCGCTAGAGAACGAATGGCGTCTTGGTGCAATCAAACGGAGCTGCCGGGAAGAGAGTATAGTGTAATCGCTGTGACCTTTTGACGTCTTGTTTACTTCCAGCACTACAATGTACCCGTACCCCATCATCTTAAGACTACTTAGTCAAAAGCGTGCGTGACCGGGCAAACCGACAGAACTGTGAGGTTAGACCGTCCACCGCTTTGCATTTTTTTTTTTTCAATTGTGGCTCTCTGGGTCTTTATCGATTCTGTTTCGAAAAATAACCCTCTTGAAGTTAGGACATTTTTTTCAATTACCTAAAGTTCTTCAAATGCTTATAAAATCGTCCCCAAGCACTCAATTTCGACGGGACAGGTTTCTTTTGATTCAGAAAACATCGAGGAGCAAGAAAAAGGCCCCCTGAGTCCTCTGGGGTGTGTTGCCTGTCCTCCAGGGGGCCTAACATGGGCCAATTCAGTCAAAGACGGCACTTTTTTCGACGTTTTCCAGCCACTTGCATGGATTTAGTCGTCATCCGAGGACGTTTTAGTGGTTTAATAAGTTGGTATGATGTGTCTCTATGCAGGAATACCGGTGACCGATTTTTGTCGAAAGAGGTTGCCTACTTTTCAGGGGAACTTGTGTTTTTCGAACTGACCGACATTGCGAATACATGGTCAAAACCGAGCCATAACGCTCTATTTCGATAAACGGTGTACGTTTATGGTCGATTGAGCTCTGAACACTCCTTTCCGTAGATCCACCAGATTGCCTACTCTCCGGGGGTAGGTAGACGGTAGGAATAAACCATAATTTATCGGGTTTTGGTCAATTCTAGTCAATTGTTGATTTGGTCAAAATATTCTAGGTAACAAATAAAGTTGCTCAGAGGGGAGTGGCTTTGACCAAATTAATGTTGGGCCGCGTAAAAAATTAAGATTATTTTCAGAATCTGCTTTTAGTTACACATAGAGGTAGGAAGCTCCACAAATTCTTATTAAAAAAAAATTGAACGTGTATATGTACTAAATTAGAGCAATAACTTTCTTAATTCTAGAAATCTCTCTTTTCTTCCTTCATATTTTGAGTCTAGTCAGTTCGATGGCTCCCTGCAAAAGTATACGTTCTGTATGGTACGCGTCTAAACCATACGATCTATACGGTACGTCTCTAAAACATACTATTCGTTTTCGGCGGCTTTCCCTTGCACATTTTCGGCAGCCGTTTGGGAATAGAAGTAAGTTTTTAAACATGCATTTTTCTCGGTCTCACACGGAAAAAAATGGTTGGTTGTGGCAACCGAAAGTCGATCGCCACGACCATTTCTCTCGATAGATACCAGCAGTATCGACTTTCTGATTGTGACAACCAAGCGGCATAGCTGCAGCAGGTTAGTTGCGATAACCAACGGTTTGATCGTGGCGATCAGAACTGCTAATAGCAGGAATCGCACTTTACTTGGTTGCAGGGAGTAGGTCTGTTTTACACCTCGTGGCTGCAGCTAAAAAGTTGATCGCCGTGATCGATTTGTCGTCTTGAAGGACATACTAAACGGGCGTCAATTGTTTTGCCTGATTTTTGACTACATTCAATATTGAAGATTGAGATCAAGATCCTGCGATCCACTGAGGTCCGGCAGATATCAAAAATCGACAAGTCTCGACAATCGTTCCCAAACGATTATTTGTCAGACTCTTTTTCAGAGTACCGTGGAGATGTCACTCGGGACACCCACCAATGGAGGCGACCGAAGGCCTCACCGCGAGGTAACAGAAATATAAGCGTACCTTTGCAAATAATTAACTAATGGTTTTCAATAATCGAAATATTATTTCAAATGGTTGTTATCTTGCCGTAGGAAGGAGTTATTCACGTAAAATGGTCGCGGGTGAAATGAAATTAAGGAAATAATCATTCCGGGTTGCGAAAGGAGTGCCACGCTGCACGTGATTCTGATTTCTACCGCTAGGTGGCGACAATGAATAGTGGGCAACCCCTTTTCTCTCGCACGTCCCTGTAGTGAACGTCGACCTCGGTAAAGGGCGCCGGGTAGTTACCACGAGCAAGCCACTTGCATGGGCACAGTCAAGCCAGAATGTAGGGTGGAGTTGGATTGTAGCGACCAAGCAGACCCTACGAAGCGAGTTGTAACACGAGAGGGAACCCAGCCGGCTGCCACAACCAAGCAGTTCGATGTCTACAACCAATTCAGTCTCAACCAGGACAATCTGGTCACCACGACCAACCCTTTTTTTGCCGTGCAGGTGAAAGTTCAATCTTCCATCTTTGTATTCCGCCCATCAAAACGATAAATTCAAGTTTGCAAATCAAGTAATTTGGCTAACGGAGATATGGTTGCAAAAAATGGTATAAACGGATAGTTTGTTTTAGAAGACACGTATCGTACAGAAGGAACGTTTTAGACGCGTACCGTACAGAACGTATGCTTTAGCAGGGAGCCATCGAGTTGGAATCTGACTGAAAAGTGACGAAACCCGATAAATTATGGTTTATCCCCACCGTCTACCTACCCCTGGAGGCTAAGCAATCGGTAGATCTGCGGAAAGGGGTGTTAGGAGCTCTCACTCGACCATTAAAGTACACCGTTTTTCTAAATAGAGCGGTATGGCCCGGTTTTGACCATATTTTCGCAATATAGGTCAGTTCGAAAAATACAAGTTCCATAAAAAATAGGCAACCTCTTTCGACATAAATCGGGTACCGATATTCCTGTATAGAGACACATCATACCAACTTAATAAACCACTAAAACGTCCTCAGATGACGACACAATACATGCAAGTGGCCAGAAAACGTAAAAAAAAAGTGCACTTTTGACTGAATTGGCCCATTTCAGGCCCCCTGGCGGACAGACAACACACCCCAGAGGGCTCAGCAGGGGGCCTTTTTCTTGTTCCTTGGTGTTGACTGAATCAAAAGAGACCAGTCTTGTCGAAATTGAGCGCTTAGAGCCGATTTTATAAAGATTTAAAGAACTTTAGGTAATTGAAAAAAAATTCTTCGAGAGGGCGGCGCACTGCCTAATTTTTCAAAACTCAAAAATAGCCGAGACACATACCTCCTATTTTTCAAAAAAGAATCGATAAAAACCCCGAGCGCTAAAATTCAAAATAAAAAACAAAACAAAAAAAACAAGCAGGCCCGCCCTTCCGCCAAACGAAGTTGCCAGCTTCGCTTCGCTGCGCCGGCAACTCCGTTCGGCAGGGGCCGGGCCTGCTTGGCCTGCCGGCGGCGATG